GGTGTCCTGTCGTTTTTGTCACATTTGTCAAGCTGTGCCCCCTTCGTAACAAGGTATTTGACAATGTCAAGATGACCGTTCAATGATGCTATGTGAAGAGCTGTCAACCCATCTTTATTTCCAATTTCAATGCCTGCTCCTTTGTTCACGATATACTCAACGACTTCAAAATGGCCTTCTTGTGAAGCCCAAGACAAGGGTGTTCTGTAGTTTTTGTCACATTTGTCAAGCTGTGCCCCTTTACTAACAAGGTATTTGACAATACCAAGATTACCCTTGAGTGATGCTATGTGAAGAGCTGTAAACTCATCTTTATCACCAATATTAATGCCTGCTCCTTTGTTCACGATTAACTCGACGACTTCAAGATGGCCTTTTTGAGAAGCACAATACAAGGGTGTCCTGTAGTTTTTGTCACATTTGTCAAGCTGTGCCCCTTTCCTAACAAGGTAGTCGACAATATCTCGATGACCCTTGAATGATGCTATATGGAGAGCTGTAATCCCATCTTTATCAACAATATCAATGCCTGCTCCTTTGCTCACGATATACTCGACGACTTCAAGGTGGCCTTCTTGTGAAGCACAAGACAAGGGTGTCCTGTCGTTTTTGTCACATTTGTCAAGCTGTACCCCCTTCCTAACAAGGTATTTGACAATGTCAAGATGACCGTTCAATGATGCTACGTGAAGAGCTGTCAACTCATCTTCATTTCCAATTCCAATGCCTGCTCCTTTGCTCACGATATACTCCACGACTTCAAGGTGGCCTTTTTGAGAAGCACAATACAAGGGTGTCCTGTCGTTTTTGTCACATTTGTCAAGCTGTGCCCCCTTCGTAACAAGGTATTTGACAATGTCAAGATGACCGTTCAATGATGCTACGTGAAGAGCTGTCAACTCATCTTTATTTCCAATTTCAATGCCTGCTCCTTTGTTCACGATAAACTCGACAACTTCAAGATGGCCTTCTTGTGAAGCACAATACAAGGGTGTCTTGTCGTTATTGTCACATTTGTCAAGCTGTGCCCCTTCGTTAACAAGAACTTTGACAATGTCAAGGTGTCCCCCAAATGAAGCCAAACTAAGTGCGGTCCAGCCATCGTCAGTGCTCCTATCCAGTTCTGCTCCTTTACTGGTTAGATATTTCACTCCATCAATATTACCAGTTTGTGATGCAGCATATAGTGCTGTGAATCCACCTTTACCACACGTGTTAATGTTAGCTCCTTCTGTTAAAAGGTATTCTGCAATGTCAAGATGGTCACCGTCTAAAGCAAGGTGTAAAGGGGTCCAGTAATCATTAGCAAGTCTCTCCAGCTCCGCCCCTTTACTAACAAGGTATTTTACAATATCGAAATGACCCTCAATTAATGCCATGTGAAGAGCTGTAAACCCATCTTTGTCACCAACATCAATATCTGCTCCTTCGTTCACTAACAGCTCTACAACATGAATATGACCTTTCTTTGAGCATAAATGAACTGATGTCTGTCGGTTAGAATCGACCACATTCACGTTTGCGCCACGATGGGTAAGGCATTTAACCGTTTGCAAATGTCCGTTTTCTGAAGCAATGTGGAGGGCCGTCTTGCCAGACGTATCTGAGCAGTTTATATAAACTCCTCGCGAATCCTTTGACTTGTCTTCCGAGTCGATTAATGATTGTATCTTCAGGACGTCTCCTTTTGCTGCTGCTGAAAACAGCGCCATGTTAAACGTAATTCACACCCACAACGTTTTTCGCATCATGATATTACCGTGCTCTCCATACACGATGTTAGTTATTGTCATGTGGCATTGAACTACTGTGTAAATTGGCCCGTATCATTTAGAAGTGTTATGCATTTGGAGTATTCTAAGGAGCAATCAAGCGTGATTATTTGAAAGCATTCCATAAATTGGACTTTGCATTCATATCCATATTCGGCTTCAGAAGTCTGACTACGTTAATGTACAGTGTATAGCAGCACTACGTAACTATTGCCTTGCCATTTCTCTGTATATCTTTTGGCCTGAAATATACCTGGTTTCTAATCTACCCGAAAAAGAATACGGCAGAGTAATGACGTGACGTGCACCCCCTCCCTACACCCATACAGACACACACACTTTAACAAAAGTAATTAATATGTTTTATTTCTCCAAATGTGTAATACAAACAATAACATACAATTTAATAAAATATAAGTTTACAATATAATGATTGATCGTACATAAACATAAGTAAACAAAAACTTATTTCCAGTACATATAACTTAGCAACAAAGAACTTAAAGTACCTATACATAATATATATGTCAATTGTAAATGTCATTCAATTAAAAAAAAGTAAAACAATTCTGGAGGTAGTTGGCACTAATTTTCTGTTTCGCCTTCGAAAATTTCAGAAATCGCACCCCAAAAGGTAAAATTAACGTGTTTTTACACGTTTTTTTCTCCAGGGGGGGGGGGGGCTCCCCTGGCCCCCTTGGATCCGCCACTTTCACACTTCTCACTCAGTGGATGTCTGCTAACATTCTCAACTCAACTTAATTTCATCTAACTCAAAAAGCTGTACTAAAGCCTGTCCTATCCTTTGAACGCTCCCGCTTGATAAAAATAAATATTTGTATGTTAAAACGAACATAAATTATCACCAACAAAACCAACTGTAGGAAGATGCACATCGGTAAATTTCGCTCCATGCCATAATTTAAATTGAAGTTCATGTTGTTTTTTAATGAGTATAGTAATTCTTGGTCTAACAATATTTCTTTTAGCTCTTTTATCTGTAAAATCATAATCATTTTGCCCATCCCTTACCGGCGAATCATACGTTTGCTGCAGTACTTATATAAAATAATTATAAATTGTTCTTGAACCCACATCACAAAACTGTATTTTTTAAACCTAAAGTATGAAAATAAGTATTAAAGCTTATGAAGGTGATTCTGGGATGGTAAGATCATATTAAGACCAAACTAATATTAAATTAATCGAGCAGATGATCAAGATCTAAATAAAAAATTAAGATGATTATCAGCTGTTATCAAATTATATTGTACACTGTTGGTCATAAAGGTGAAATAATTATTTTTACACCAATTTATAGAATGATTTTGACAATATTATATTCCTAATAGATCCAAATAATAGTATACATTCTCAGATTTTATTGAATGACAATTGCTGATTGTTTTGCGTGACTGCTAAAGCATGTGTGTGCTACTATGCTCATCAACTGGGGTACCTACGTCCTTAAGACATAACTGACAGTAATGGGGATTAATGCCTCATAAAAGGGCACTAACATAGCACATCGACACGGTTTTCATTATGGGGGCTAACAGTAACGAGTCCATTGATTAGCCCATGCATCATGACTGTTTACGCAGCGGGCGCCAGGGTACGTCGACGCCCCCTACCCTAGCCCCCGCTGCGTACAGTCATGGTTCAGTAACAAAACAATGGCCTCGTAACTGTGAGGCCCCAGGATCAAAACCGTGTCGATGTGCTATATTAGTGCCCTTTTGTGGGGCATTAATCCTCATTACTGTCATTTATGACTTGAGACCGTAGGTCCCCTAGGTAATAAGCATAGTAGCATATACATGCTTTAGCAGTTCCGCAAAACACACATAGGCAAGTTATTATTCAATAAAATCTGAGAATGTATACTATTATCTATATCTACTATTTTTAAATAATTTTTAAAATAATTCCATGAATTGGGGTAAAACCAAAATATTCCACTTTTATGAGCGACAGTGTATGTTTAAAAATTCTACATCATGTTTTTTGGTAATGACATATGAAGTCCCCCGATGGTCAATACTAGGGCTTCAGGAATTCAGGTGTGAATATTTTCAGAACAAGGTGACATTTTATTCAAAATTCATATTATAATATCCTAAACACACAACAGTAACAACTTACGAATTCAAAATAAAAACAATAAGATACCTGTGTATAGACGGTCTTTTAAATCAGAAAATCATCACTTTTACAATCAAGTCATCTGCGCATGCACAAATTGCATTAACACACATGAATATGTATAAGGTTCGTAACAATATAGATCATTTTGTGTTAACATTTCCTATAATTAAAGAAACTTAACTGGGTTCGTACTAATGCTTACTTTTCAAAGCCCTCCGGATTTAGCCTTTACAAATCTCTGCAAATACCTAACAAAAAGGTTGAAAGCCTTTTCTTTCCTTTCTAGAGCTTTATAAAAAACAACACAATCGAAATCTGTAATTGCCAATTAAGTCATCCATAATTTCATTTAAACAATCAACTTGGAGCATACACCATTAGTGGTTTCAGTAATGGACAACTGTTGTCTATTGATAAAATATATTTGCAAATGGCAATACCAATAAATTATGTAGAGTTTACTTCTTTCTTTAAACAACAAAAAAAGATCTCTTTGTGACTGACGTGGTCTTTTACTCATTTTGTGATAATGATATTGCACATAAAGTGAATGCATAATATCGGGCACACTGAGACAGAGAGAGAGAGAGAGAGAGAGAGAGAGGAGGATGAGGGGGAGGGGATGGGGATATATGAAAAGAGAGGGAGCGAGGACTGATCTTCGTAAGTTTTACGGTCTAACAAATTGGTAACAGCTCCCGATGCGTAAATTCACTCGCTAAAAAGAAATATAAGAAATATAGAGGAAATATATTTCCTCGAAACACTGCAAGTTGCTCTCATAAATTTGTTATTGGGTATCCTAACTATGATCTGTCCCTTTTATCGAAAACCTTTAATCCCCAACGCCCGTATTGTTTTTGACGAATGAGAATTGTCTGAGCAGAAAAGATTTCGTGTCTCGGCTGGGAAATACAATTAATGACTAGGTTCAATCACGGAACCTTTATGTTAAGTGCTCTTAACGAACAGAGTCAATTACAAATTTGTTTAATCTGCTTACAAAAATAGGGAGAGTGATTTTAACATAGATGACTTTCTAGATATAATTATCTTTACGTTGTGAGTGTTCTCGTGAGGGGCACTTTGATTGATGTTTACATTGCAATGGGAATCTCTTTGGTGTAATCCTTTTTTGATCTTGACATGGCCCAGTTGTCGTCAGAGAGCAAGAATTCTACGTCCAATAACGCGAGTCTCTCACCTTTACACATTTGAAGACAATTATTCGACATCTACCATGTGTACAAGATCATGAAGATTAATGCCTTGATGTAGGATATAATATGGCACACTAATATCATCCAAGCTTATACATTCTTAATCATCAGCTAATTCTTCATGAGAAGGATATCTACATGAATACCTGGACTTAATAGATTCGTCATGCTCTGAGAAATGTTGGTCTGGTGGAGACTTCAGACTTCATATCTAAGCCCGTTGGAGGACATATATTCTACACCCAATAACGCAAGGCCCTCGGCCAATTCTTCAGGCTTCGAGGATGTATAGTGTGTGAGATCTAGTAGATTAATTCTCACTTTGAATGAACTGACAACCTGAAGGAGATTATGAAGGGATAAAAACTTGGCATTTTACGAGAGAACATGAATTCGACATCCTATAACACGAGTCTCTCGAACAATTCTTCAGGCTTCGAGAATTTGCAGTCTTTTTGCGACTTTAGTAGTCAAGTTATGTCCACAGTGGTCTTGAATGCCATCGCAATAGTTCCACCCTCCTTGACCCTCATTATCATCCTAATCCACAAGAAGCTAAGGAAGCAGCACAACATAATACCTTTCAATATCATTCTTTGTGATTTCTTCGTCGTTGCCCTAAGCGCGTATCTCCTTGCAGCGGATTCGTCAGCGGTAAGGAAATGGACCTTAATCATTAATGCATTTAGTAAATATATATTTTATGTATATACATGTATATATATATATATATATATATATTCATATATGTGCCTTTATATTAATGAACATATACATACACACACACGCATACACATACACCCTCACACACACTTTTTATTTCAATAGTTTTTTTAAAATTGATTCCAAACAATAGAAAAACATTTTCATTACAAAGATTGTACGATTGATGAAAACAAAAATGAAATCAGTTGTAACATAAAACATACGCGCAAAACACACACACACACACACAAACACACACACGCACGCACTCACACGTGTATAGTGTTTACGTGTGTCTGTGTGTGCGTGTGTGCCTAAAGTGCAGAAAGGCCATATTTGACTAGCAACAGCACTAATTGTCAGCTGTCTCTTTTAATCCTCCTTACAATGATTTAACTTTATAAATAAATGTTCATATTTCAATATCATGTTTCATGATGACTATACCGGATGTGTCAGTAAAACAATTATAATAGCCGATGCAGTACTTTTTCAGTTGCTGACGATTATATTCTTGTCGCATTTTGATGAGACACACTGTATATGAAATATTGTTATCTGTACTGTGTGCACTGCATAAGGTTTTAACTTTTAAAGGTAAAGACCAGTATTGGAAATGCCCCAATTTCAAAAATTGAAATGGAAGCTCTCATTACCAATCATGTGAAAGAATATGTTTTGACTAATACATGATGATAAAAAATTTGCCGGGAAACCGCCTACTAATTCATATATTTGGTAAATTTGTTTCTCTCATGGTGTGTGAGAGATATAGGGTAGTCCCATATACATCTTTCTGTGTATAGTGCTTGTAACTTTACGAAGAATGGGCCAAATTTCTTATCATTTTGATGATTCCAGAACCTTGCAGATGCTTGATGCTAGATGATCAACCTTTTCTGATCGATTCCACAACGTTTCTTTCACAATGCAATTGCATGACCATAACTGGTCTTTACCTTTAACATCGATATATCTTACCTGAACCTTTCAATAACAGGAGACCAGCCTCTTCTACAAGATCGTGCGGACGCTACTTCTACCAATCGACTTCTCCTCTCTGATAAACATCCTCCTCGCCGCCATCTACCAGTTCATCAATATCTGCGTAGACCCCTTCGGTGCCCGCCACATCATCACCACACCCCGCATCATCGGCGCCTGCGTCCTAACCTGGCTACTCCCATTAATCCTAATTGGGCCCTTCAATTGGAGAGGCCTTGATCAAAATTTATTTTTGGTATTTCTTGGATTTGAGTTCGGAGCTCTCCTATTCACAGGCCTCTGCTATGTCTTCATCTACAGAGCAATTTCTACAGGTCCTCCAGGTGTGAATTTTTCGAAGGAGAGAAAACGCGAAAACGAGACAGTTTTTCTCACAATTTCACTAGTGTATGTAACAACACTGGTCCCTAGATCTTTCTATCTTCTCGGAATTCTCCTGTACATATATCATGGTGCTCTTTGCAGCATTGTCATTATGGCAGGTGTAGCATACAACGGGAATTTAGTTGTAAATAGTCTGGTGTACTGGTGGCGTCTAAAAGAGTTTAGGTCCTTGATAACACAGTGTCGAACAAATAAAGTTGATTTACAATGATTGGTGCACTGACACATGGAAGTTACTGGTAGATCCAAGGTGGTGATGGGGGTGGGGGCACATGCAGATCCTAACTTTCGGACTATACCCAACTTGGATAGAAATTATGGAAACAGATAATTCATCCAATAAATTAACCTTTGGTTTATATTTTATTTTATCAAGTGTTTTTTTCTTCTAGTAAGTTAAGATTGCAAAAATTATTCCTGTCCATAGAAAAGATGATTGTGATTCATTCAAATGTCATCAACTGATATCTGTGTTGCCTTGTATACCAAAACCATTAGAAAAATGCGTTTATAATCGTTTATATAATTCCCTTAAAAAAAGATGTACTTTCTGATTGTCAATTTGGTATTGGGAAAAAACATTCTGCAATTAACCCATGCTTTAATTGATTTACAGGATAAAATAACCTTAGCAATTAAAAGTAATAATTTTTGTATTGGAATATTTATGGATTCATCAAAAGCTTTCGATTTTGTTAATCAATTAACTCGTTTGTATGCAATATGTGGAATCCCATTTCAATTTGTTAAAGATTATTTACATAGTCGTCTCCAATATACTATGATAAAAAAATTCTACATCCCCAAATGGTCAATTCTAGGTCCCTTGTTTTAAAAAAAAAATATATTAATGATCCAGTTAAATCCTTTGAAAAGTAAGATCATGTTATGTACGCCTATGACACAACTCTTATGTTCACTCAATTTGATAATATTATGTTAAAAGTAATGTCAATGAAGAAGTGAATAACGTGGCTAAGTGGTAAAGGTAATATATTGATACTTAATCTGAGCAAAGACAACTGTTGTATATTTTATATTAAAAAAACATGCTGTTTCAAACCTGTTTAATAACAGGCCTATATCACTTAAAATTAATTTCGTTTGTATATCTAAGCAAGAAGTTGTTAATTTTCTTGATGTATATGTAGTTAATAACTTTTGTTGGGATGCACATATTAATAATATTATAAGTAAAGTGTCAAAATGTATAGGTATACTGTATAAAGATTTATTTACCACTCTTGATATTATTTAAAATTTATGATTCACTCATATTGTCTTATTTCACATATTGTATTGTTATTTGGGGAATCTTTTTGGTGTAATCCTTTTTTGATCTTGACATGGACATAATAGAATTTGCTGCATGAGCAGGGATGATGTCGGAAATGAAATTTAAGTTTATTTGTTATGCCAATATTCCATGAAATTATCTTACATGTATTATCTTTGTGGTGTTTCCACGAAAATCTGTTATCAACAGGTAAACCTAGAAATTTAATGCATGAAATAACTTCCAAGGGGGTATCTTCAAAAAATATTCATGGGCAGTATGTTTATATAATTTCTAAATAACACTCTTTTTAGAGTTAAGGTTAAGGGATAGTTCACAAGCTCTTATCCATCGGTAGACTTTTTCAAGTTCAGAATTTACAACATTGACTAAAGTATTTGGATTTCTGTGGGAATAAAATATATAAGATCGTCTGCAATATATATATATATATATATATATATATATATATATATATATACAGTGCGTCCTAGAAAAAACGAAACCGAGAAGTATCGATGTTTTATCATAACTTAATCACAACCATAATTAATGAATGATACATATTTGGAAAGCTTAGAGTCTCCTCTTGCAGTTGATGCTACTCACGTGATGCATATTTTACGCATGAGTGATTAACAGCAATTTGAAGGAAGGAAACCGAAAAGTAATTTGGCGGACGGTATCTGAATTTCAAAGAAAAATTCACATTTTCAGAAAGTTCATTTTCTGCTCTTTCATATGATACCTCAATCAAGAAAAATGAGCCAGGAATAACAAAGTTCTGTTTAATATAATTTTGTTTATAAATTGATTTGATTTGATAAGGTTTTATTCGAATATTCAACAATACAGCTGGAGGCTGATGCAAGTAAATTTACAAGGTAAAAATAATTCCATAGACATACAAATATAATTATATGCTCTTTAACACTTTTAAATGAATCCAGATCTGAACAATACATAGTACATAAATCATAAATAATGAAAACAATAATAATATTGAGTTCGGTTTGCATACTTGGATATGAAATAAATAGAAAATCAAAGGGTATAAGATCAGATATACAGTTTGAGAGTCGGTGCAGGACATCTTGATAATGTATTAAGAAAAAAAAATTATTATTGATCATTAAAAAATTGAAACTAAATGATTAAACTGTAACATTTACATGAAGTATATATAGAAAATAAGTCGATAAACTTCAATTATCAAATAAAACAAGGTGACATTTTATTCAAAAATCATATTATTATATCCTAACCACACAACAGTAACAACTTATGAATTAAAAATAAAAACAATAAGATACCTGTGTATAGACGGTCTTACGTTTTTTAAAATCAGAAAATCCTCACCTTTACAATCCAGTCATCTGCGCATGCCCAAATTACATTAAAACACATGAATATGTATAAGGTTCGTAACAATATAGATCATTTTGTGTTAACATTTCCTATAATTAAAGAAACTTAACTGGGTTCGTACTAATGCTTACATATTGCTCCGTTTAGTCTCATTTCACAACGCCCCCTATCGTCAGAGCATGGTCAGAGTCAGCAGCCTAACACGTTAGCCTATGGACGTTTTTTTTTAAATTCGTTAAAAATTCATTTTTTGTTTAAACGAAAAGCACATCCACCGCGACGTACGTTATCACTAGCTCTTTCATTGGAGCCCTCATGTCTCATTGACTTTTGAAAGTTCACCCACCGTAATTTTTCAAAATAGGTTGCAATTGAGCTCGTCATTGACTATAATACACATGTGAAACAAGTCTAACTTTGGACTCAGTTTGCCAAGCGATTTGAAGATTATAGGTCGAGCACACGAAACATAGAAAGCATGAATTATCATAGATCACTTCTGCCTATTTCATTATGTCCATTTCATCCAACCCCCACCGTAATTTTTCAATTTAGTAAAAGCAAACATTTAGCCGAGGTAAGCAAACACATGAATATTCATGACACACCATGGACTATTCGGTTATTAACAGAGGGGTGCAATCGGTCATCACGTCAAACTCCCCTAATTGCCACCAAGTATTTCATATAATTATATAGTTTGGTATGTTTCTTTTACTCACTCATGAATTATTAAATATCAATGATAGTTTAAAGAAATGTAAAACAAATTTTAGTTGATATTTATTAACAAAGTAATTTATATTTAGCAAAGCAATCTCACATACAAAATTACTATCAAGTGTCGTCTGCTACGCCGATTGTCGCCTGCTTCGTTAAAGGCACATATTTGTCGTTTGGACTGTAAGGTATACCAGGGAGATTTGTATTTTCCTGCAGTACAACGTATAGCATTTAATGATTACGTAATGGAAGTGGCGAGGCAGTATGGTTTGAATAACTTAGGCAGGTGAAATTTATTGTATTGAGATGTAAAGGAATGTTCAGAAAGGCATAGAGAGGGAAGTGGGCGTGGTAGCCATTCTAGCTTTGCACCTACATCAGTACGAGAATACACCCGACAGCGCGGTGGCCTGTACTTATAGCGCGCGAACACATCACACCTAATGGCATACACCCGGTACTCTGCAACACAGTGGAACATTCTAAGAAATTAAAAAATTATCTACAAAATGGACCTCTTGAATCATCTGAGAAGTAACTTACCCTATTCTGATTACTTCAATGAATGTCAAGATAACAATGGCTGCTTTTCCATCCAAAAATAAAACTAGTTTGCAATTAGAAATAGTCAATTTCTCGATAATTTCACAAAATATATTTGCCGCCGCATTCAATATGACGTCATTGACAGCTGATTGGCTAGTTTGGTAGTGACGTCGAAAGAGCTATGTTTGTGCTGCAGTGATCGAGCGAGCGAAAATGAGACAATCGGAGCAATATGCTTTTCAAAGCCCTCCGGATTTACCCTTAACGAATCTCTGCAAATACCTAACAAAAAGATTGAAAGTCTTTCCTTTCCTTTCTAGAGCTTTATAACAAACAACACAATCGAAATCTGTAATTGCCAATTAAGTCATCCATAATTTCATTTAAACAATCAACTTGGAGCATACACCATTAGTGGTTTCAGTAATTTGCAAATGGTAATACCCTGTAAATTGTCCAGTGTTTACTTCTTTCTTTAAACAAAAAAGATCTCTTTGCAGCAGCGACTGACGTGGTCTTTTACTCACTTTGTGATAATGATATCGCACAAAAAGGGAATGCAAAATAAATAACCTGTAAACATTGCTTTGAATTACTGCTACTACCAGTAGAAACCCCACGTGTTTTCTCTAGTGGCAGAGGTTGTGTCATTCTGCTGAAACATGAATGCGTCAGCGACTGACGTGGTCTCTGACGCGCCTTGCAATACCGTACAAAAAGTGAATAGCAATTCAACAGCTTGGAAATATCGTTTTGAATTACTACTGCATGCGCTAGTTTCATGTATGGACTAATTTAGCGCAGCTCCTATAAACGGAATCGAAATGACGAGCCGCGTACGACAGGCATTAATTAGGAGTAGAGGCTCATTGAATAGTCTGAGATGTCAAATAAGAATAATCTGAGCAGAAAAGATTTAGTGCCTTGACTTGGAAAAAAATGGCTATGGTTAATCACAGAACCTCTATGTTAAGTGCTCTTACACAATAGAGTCAATTACAAATGTGTTTACCCTGCTTTCTTACAAGGAAAAGGAGAGTGCTTTTAACATAGATGACTTTCTAGATATAATTATGTTTACGTTGTAAGTATTCTCAAGAGGGGCACTATGATGTTTACATTGCAATGGGAATCTCTTTGGTGTAATCCTTTTTTGATCTTGACATGGCCCAGTTGTCGTCAGAGAGCAAGAATTGTACGTCCAATAACGCGAGTCTCTCACCTTTACACATTTGAAGACAATTATTCGACATCTACCATGTGTACAAGATCATGAAGATTAATGCCTTAATGTAGGATATAATATGGCACACTAATATCATCCAAGCTTATACATTCTTAATCATCAGCTAATTCTTCATGAGAAGGATATCTACATGAATACCTGGACTTAATAGATTCGTCATGCTCTGAGAAATGTTGGTCTGGCGGAGACTTCAGACTTCATATCTAAGCCCGTTGGAGGACATGATTTCTACACCCAATAACGCAAGTCCCTCGGCCAATTCTTCAGGCTTCGAGGATGTATAGTGTGTGAGATCTAGTAGATTAATTCTCACTTTGAATGTACTGACAACCTGAAGGAGATTTTGAAGGGATACAAACTTGGCATTTCGTGAGAGAACATGAATTCGACATCCTATAACACGAGTCTCTCGTCCAATTCTTCAGGCTTCGAGGATTTAGAGTCTGTTTGCGAATTTAGTAGTCAAGTTATGTCCTTAGTGGTCTTCAATGCTA